AGGGGAACGAGCCAGAGAGGGAGAAGAGGGAGGGGGGGAGGAGAGAGGGAGCGGAACAGCGAGAGGGCAGAAGGGAGCAGCAGAGAGAGGAGGGGAACGAGCGAGAGAGGGAGAAGAGGGAGGGGGCGACGGCGGCGGCGGCGGCGACGACGACGACGACGACGGCGGCGGCGGCGACGAGACGACGGCGACGCCGCCGCCCTCGCCGCCGGCTCAACCAGCGCGCCGCCTCCCCCGCGGCCGCGCTCCCGCTTCCCCGCGCGCGCGGGGCCGGCCGGGGCGCGGGCGCGGGGCGGGCGCGGCGGGAAAACGCGAGCTTCCGTGGGCCCACGCTCCCGGGAGCTCAAAAGAAAACAACCGCGAGCTCCTGGGGGCCCACGCCCCCGGGAGCTCAAAAAAACAAACCTCCCCGGGGCTCCAGGGACGCAACCTCTTCTCCTCTCGCCGCCTCCGTGTTGCGCGCTGGGCGGCAACGCGGGAAACCTCATATGGCGCGCGCTGGGCGGCGACATATGGGGGGGATATTGGAGCGCGCTGGGCGGTTCCAGTATCCTTCGGGCGGGGGCGGTGGCAAATGCGGAGCTCTGACCGTGCGCGCTGGGCGGCGCGTGTTAACCTTCGTCTCTTTGCCTCGTCCCGGGCGCGCTGGGCGTCATCCTTTTTTGGGCGCGCTGGGCGGCCCAAGGCGCGCTGGGCGGCCAATTGATTTGTGTTCTGCGACGAGGGCGAGCGGCGGGTATTCAGGGCCAGAGGCCAAGATGCGTTTGGTGGGCGGGGCTGGGGGCGGGCTGGAGGGGGACATTTTCTTGCGCATCTGGTGCTGGGAAGCCGTCACTATCGCGATTTTGTTGCAAGGCTTCTTGCAAAAAAACTCACGGTTGGTGATGTGCGGTGGGTCTGGGACCAGCGGGGTGTGGAATACCGCCGGAAAAGGTGGTTTGGGAAGCCGGAACTATCGCGATTTGTTTGCAAGGGTTCTGTAAAAAAATTGCGTTTGGTGATGTGCGGTGGGTTCGGAACCAGCGGGGAGTGGAATTGCTTTGGGAATTATGTTTTGGGAAGTCGTCACTATCGCAATTGTTGTGGAGGGTTTTTTTTTGTGAAACCTAGGCGGTCGCCGCGGCGCGCGTGGGTCGGTGTGGGTGGGGGGCGCGGATGTTTTGGGATGTCTGTAGTGGGCAGCCGTCGCCGTCGTGCTTTTTCTGTATAGCGTGTTGTGGGCGAATGTTGCCGCTGCGAATTGCGCAAGACATGTTTAGTTTTGAAGAGCGCGTTGTTGTCGAGGAAGCTGGTCGTTGGGCGGGTTTCCGCGGCGTTCGTCGCGAGGGCGGCTCGGCTGGACGCGTCTGCTCGGGTTTCGGGGTGCTGTAGATTTGGAGAAGGCGGGAGGGGGCAATTGGAGGAGGAGGAGGAGGAGGAGGTGGAGGAGGAGGAGGAGGAGGAGGAGGGGAAGTTTAAAACGGCGCCGCCAGAGCGTGCCGAGCGGCCGGAGCTCCTGGCGTCGGGCGGAGTGGAAAATCATGAGGATGGGCGTGTGCCGGAGGCGCTTGTCGATTCCGGGAGCGTTTCCGGCCGCCGGCAGGAGGAGGAGGAGGAGGAGGAGGAGGAGGAGGAGGAGAAGGACGAGGGGGAGGGGCAGGATCAGGAAGAACAGGAGAAAACAAAAGCTTCGGAGCGCCCAGAGCCACTGGAGCTCCTGGCGG